GAGGGAGGGAGGGTAGGAAGGAGGGGGGAGGAGAAGACCATTCTTTTTCTTTGTCGTAATTCTGTAAATGACACTCAGTCTATGACCCTTGTTTGGAAGAACTGCAAACTAAATATGATCTAAGGAATGCAAAGCTTACAAATTTATTAGTGGCTCGTGTGGTAACTTTTAATGTTTCTGTGGCAATACTAGCGACAAATTAATAAAAGCTTAATTTTTATACAAATAGTTTTATTACAAATTTGAATTTTTAAAGAAATACACATTTAAAGAAATTACATAAAAGGCCTTAGTAGTCTTAAAACCATTTTGGAGACTTTTTAGTGAAATGTCATTTCAGGCATAGTGGTCCGATTGTGCTCTCCTGCAATCCATCCGTTCCCCTGCTGAAGTCTGAATACAGCTCATGAAAAACCAAGGAGGCCGCCTGAATGTGCTGACATGTAAAAATACTGATATTTTGATTCAACGGAGCTGTTTGTCACGCCGGGCTGCAGAATGAGGAATACTACCCAAATGAAGGCCTTTTAAGGTTGTTGCTTTTGAAGTCAAGTCATTCAGTTTGTGATTAGTGTTTAAAACCCTGAATATATTTAATACAGAATAAAAACAATAAGCTCAAAGTACATGTTTCACCATAATAGACACCATATCCATGAACCTGGGTTTGGTTTTTGGCAATACACAATTTTTGGTTTGGAGGTGAACAACAAAAATTGGTGTTTCACATTCAATACCCTTGTGTTTAAAAATCTATGTTGAAGGACAACACAGTTTTTAAAGGAAGAAACTATGTAATAAGCTTTATTTTAACAGTGGAACTGAAACTAAAAACTTGACCTGCCTAACTGCTGACATCTATATAAATTACTAAAATATATATATATATTTCATTTCTGCCTACTTTTGGACCATCTTTATTCCACAGGATATTCGTGATTTCTGCAAAAGCAGCTGCATAGTACCACACATAGCAGAAAGACCTAAATTTATACTTGGGGATTGGAAGATACGGCCGCTGAGCCCGTAATTCCACTTGGAGGTTCGAAACACCGTTTTCACATGACTATTATTTGTACAGACCAAGGGACCTGAATTTGAAACAGCTAGACAGTGACATAAACAAACATTTCATCTGGGGGTGAGAAATGAATCTATTATCATACAGGAATGAAAACGGGCATTCGAACAGTATGGAAGGCCCCGCACACCTCCTAGCACCCTTTGGTTTTCTGATGGAGTTCTCATTTTACACATCAGTGCACCGGATTGTAGAACAGACTTATATTTTTATTTCGTCAAAAGTGCCATTTGGTATGTCACTACTGACAGCTTATCGATGTCTCTGTTTCTCCTTCAGCAAGTAGAGGCCAATGAAGCAGGGTGTGTTAGTTACGCAGATTCCTATAAGGCACTTTACGGTTTTCATACTGGACAGTGAGGTACACAGGATATATTTCTAGGGTTCGTTGCTGTTAAAAAAAAGAGGAAGGGGAAGAGGAGGGAGTAGCACCATGTTGTGACGTTAGCTGAGAGCTGGGCTTCATTATGTTCTTCTCATACAGACTTGGCAGCGACTGACATGCGTGCGCAGCTCCCCAGCCTTCAAGGTGGACGGCGTGGGCTTCCTAGGGCATGAAAAACAACCAGTCGTCACTTCGCTGCTCGTCAAAAAGGCAGGCAGGATCCTCAGCCCTGCCACCTGCTCGGAGATCTCCAAGGGATCAGACATCAGACGGGGATGGGTTCTGGCCCCATGACAAACAGCCACCATTATCCAGCCCGGCTCTAAGAGGGGGCATGGCATGGCCTTCCTAACGCATAGAGCAAAGCAAGTTATCACCTGCATTCCCCATCCCCGGCCCTGAGGTGCACACAGAGAGTGAAGGCACAGCTAAAGTCACCCCTCAACTGTTTGGCTCCGAAGTCCCAACCACTCCCCATTGCACCACCCCGCCTCCTGGAACTGCAGCTTAACTCTGTCTTCTCAACCCGACTATAACTCCTCCAGGGAAAGAAGATATTGCTCTCCCCTGAAATACTTCACACATGGTAAGTTCGCATCAGATATTTACAGAATGAGGTAATGAGCAACAAATCTGGAAAATAACTAGACCTCAAAATACTTTTATAACTTTTGAAGGATTTATATGCAGGTGGTCTGTTGATGGCCAAAGAGAAGGGAAGACATTTAGTGGCCCAAATGCCTCCTTAATCCTAAAAATTCTACCTTGTTTTGATTACCAGAAAGGTAAAGACTGAACGAAAATTGACAGGTAATCAAATTATATTAAAATCAAAGGAATCATATAGTAAGAGTACTTTGCCCTAAAATTTAGCAACTTTTGGTGAAAATCATAGTGCCCCCAAGTACATTAAAGTAAATGGGATATTACCTAATTTTGTCAAGAAATCATTTGAGTTCATTGTACCAGGATATGGTTCAAAAATACCCCCATTTTTACCTATTTGCCCTGTAACACAAAGCTCTGGGAGCTGATACATGCATTAAGTGCCCATTTTGGTAGCTAATGGTTAAATTCTATCTGTAAAGTTGATGTCGTTTCCAGTTACCTAAAAAGTCTTATGCATGTTACCTATTAGGCACCTAGTAATGTTTTGATGCTTCAAGAACCATGAGTGGCAAGTGTGTAGCTCCACCTTTTATTATCTAAGCTACAAGGAGATGGGGTCATAGGAGAATTCCACAAAATTCTCTCTAAAAAGGTAAAGCTTATCTCCAGGGGTGAGAAGCATTTATTCTGGAATAAATAGTAAGTAACTGTTCAGGCTCCATTGGCCCCTACATCTGCTCTATCAGGGGCTGCAGCTGGTACTAAATAATGGCAAGAGGACCCATCATGTGCTTCTGTCCATTAGGGACCAGACCAGTCTCCAAATTAACTTCAACAAGGCAGCAACCTCTTGGGACAGTCATTTAAAGGTGAAATTTTGGAAATAGAAAAGAAAGGAAAAGAAGGGGCCTTCCCTTTCCATTTCAGCTGCATTTGTACTAAAATTTATTTTTATTTGTATGTGTCTGCAAAACAAACTCGTGTTAAGCGACTCAGAACTCAAACAACAAATTAAATTCAGCCTTATAAATGCAATGAAAATGAACACTGCTCACTTTCCTCTCTCACTGAGTGTTAAAGATACAATATTTTTAAATGCTCTTTGAAGTTTTTAATTGCTTTAAGTACATTTCAGTGGATTCACCCAGAAAAATGAAAAATGACCTCCTTTCTTTCACGGTTCTTCAGTCAGTGAAAGAATTAAGCCCATCACCTAAGCTCTGCCTTTGAAAATTGTCTCGGTTATCTGCCCATGTAGAACAGAATCAAATATTCATTACTACATTTGGTAGAAGCGTTCCTAAGTTATTGCTTTATAACCATCTTTGAGACTTTGCACTGGAAGGTATAAGAATCATGGATGATTAAAAATGAAGACCACGAAGGGGGTGAGGGTCCTAGGAGAGAGGGTCATTCCGACTTACTTGAACATCTCACTTCTCTCTATAGTGGCAAGCCAAAAGCTGTAAGCGTTTGCATAGTAATTACAAGTCCCACGGCCGTGGCACTCGATGAATGGAGCACTTCTAAACTCTTCCAGACAGGACCCGGGGGATGCGAGGGCTTGGCCAGAACCTTCGGCACCAGCGCTGGTGTGCTGCAGAAGAAACGGACCATGGGTCAGCAATTAATTCCCACTCACAGACGGCAGAGGGCGCCACGGCTTCCAGGGAGGAGCCAGAGTGCCCCCTTCCAGAAAGCTTGCTCTCTGCCTCATGCAGTCACCACGGAACACACTGGTGCCCACCCTGCTCAGAGCCTGCAAGCTGGATGCTGCTCCACACACGGGGCACGGCAGGACTCCCCATGGCACAGAAACCAGGCAACCACTCCTCCCAAAATAGGAGATGCCAGTCCAGCTTCATCAGAACTTAAAGAAATGCTGTTCTCGCTCTTATTTTTGAAACACTGAAACCTCTTCCCAGTTGGTACACGAGGCAACTGCCAAAATGTGCAAATGATGCTATAACCAACTGATATGAAATCAGACTTTCTACATGAAATTATATATAGTATAATCAAAATTCTGTATTTGCTAGATTAGATGCTTTATATCCTTTTAGAAGGTAAAGACAAATTATCCATTTTTTTAAAAGAGGAAATTTATCAAGAAGGAGAGAAACAGATAACTACTATTGCAACTGTTAAATTGCATTTTGGTCTAATGGCTCACAATGGTGATGTGGAAGAAGTATTTGTGTAAGGTCATTTACTGTCATTTACTGACCCAAGGGTCATTCTAGTATAACCTGATCTTACAAGTTCAGACCTTTCATATACTCAATTTCATATACTTTAAATTGAGGCAATAAAATAAAATAAGAAACTACAATGGGACCTCAAACAGGTACCATGTGTCCTGTTTTAACTGGTTTTTCAGGGGAGGGAACATCCAGGGCATCTGGCAGCTGGGGTAGCTGGGTGCTAGGTGGGCAGTCTCACCCCATGGGAAGGGCGTGGACGCTCACATCCCCGGCCATAAGCCGAGGAGGCAGCGTGTGGTTAGCCCATACATTGCTGCTGCCTTCCCGACTCGCGTGTCTGCTTGCAGGCTCGCGTGTGACTCTCCCACCTGCCTTTAGGAAAAGGCACCATGTCCTCCCAGCTACCTAGTCCCACAGCAGTAACTCCCAAGGCAAGAGGAGGACGCTGGCTGGGCACTGGAACCGGTCGCCAGCGGAGCAGGCCAGGCTGCTGGGGATTCAGTGGAAGACAGGCCTAAGCAGCATGAGCGACAGCATGGGAGGGAGGAGGTGGGGGTGCCAGTGGATGGCTCCTCCAGGGAAATATGGAGTCCCCGAAACACTTACCATCACAAAGGAATAGCCAATCCAGAGCGAGGACCACCCGTTGGGGCAGGGCGGGATCTGAATGGTCTGGCTGTGCACGGCCATCACCATGGCCGGTGCCTCGCACACCGCACACCTGGAGGGGCCAGAACAAAGATGCTCAGCACAGCTGAAGGGACGGCCCAGGACGAAGCCTTTACTTATTCATTCCTTTTCCCATTATTTGCAGTCAATCTCTTCACTCAATCTTTCTGATTCAATTACATGTTTATCAAATGGATAATGTTCCCACTGCTTGGACTCCAAAGCATGGAGCCTTCTCGTTGGTTTTATAAATATTTACTTAAAATATTAAATTTGAAAATATATCCAACACATGTGATTTAACTATCCGCTTTGTTGAAGGAAGACAATGGGAAGGCCCAGTTGTAACAGTGGCCATCTCCCAGAGGGGCCAGAGCTACAGATATCTTCTGTTTCCTCTTTTGTGTTTTCCAGTTTTTCAACAATAAGCATATATTTCAGCAAACACAATTAACGCTTGGTGAAATCCAAGGGCTAACACTTTCAGAACACAGCAAATTGTTTTAAGCTAGGAATCACCTGAGATATAAGGTGACTTAGAACAGCCAAGACAAAAAATGCACCTGAGGCTGGATGTCCACGTGAGCCTCTTTCAGGATATCTGTTCCAGACCTGGAGCCAACAGACCAGTAATGAGACCCTGCCCTGGGCCAAGGCTGTCATCGGGACCCCTGAAGCTGGAGTTAGTCCCAGAGAATCCTCCCCAGGACCAACACTTCCCAAGCCAGGCTGCCTCACACGCAGCTGCCCAAGAATAAATTAAAACAACCCACAATGTTCTGACTCAGACCTGCTCAACTAAGGGAACCCTTTGATGGAGAGATAATGTTTTGTAAAAAAAAAAAAAAAAAAAAAATTAACACCAGCAGGAAAATAATTATATTCAAGTCACAAAATGAACAGAGTGTTAACACTGCTGATAAATGACTATAAATGATGTTAATAATTACACCTAGTTATGCCGGAACATTTGCATGAAAATGGATGAGGAGTGGGAAGGGGGCCTAAATTAGTCATTCAATTTTCCATGGACTTGGGTGTGTGTGAGTGGTGTGTGCAATTTTCTATTTTCTTCACACAAATGCAGATGAATTAAAAGGCTCGGTTAAACGACAGTTACTGAAATTGGCCTTATACATCTGCCACCATCTGCCTGCCAGGCACAGAAGCCAGAACTATAGCATGAAGGAAAGGCTCTCTGGGCTAGCGGGATTCAAGTGGCTGCAGAGAAGGTGATCCTGGCCCTGTCAGATGGCTGATTAGGAAACAGAGCCACAGAGTTAACGAGCTGTACAGTCCCTTAAAATTCAGTCTAATTCTCCATATAATTTATGAAGAGACTGAGGTCATAGTTGTGTCAAAGCCAGAACCAGAACTCAGTTCTTCTTGCTCTCAAACCAGTAGTCTTTCTACTACAATGAAACAATCCATAGCTTTATGATGATTCTTGCCTTTAGAAAGCCAGAAAGTACTTAGAAGCCCTTAGAAGAAACGTGTACGTCCTGAGAAATCATTGGGAACCTAAGTAAAGTAACCATGGAAACCTGCTTCTGAAGGGACCAGGAGGAATGGACAGCATTATTACAAAGAGGAAATGTGAGATGGCTTAAGGAGTAGCAGGCTTAAAGGATGGGACTTGTAAGTTCCCTCCACACTGAGTTTCTATGGGTCAGTTAACAGAAAGACATCAAAAGCCTGAAATGTGCAGTACTGGGACATTTAAACAACTCATGCCTACAGAAGCAGGGGTTTCTTACTGAAATTAATGGGTCCACAGAGAAAAGCAAATCTAAGACACAGGCTGCTAAAGACCTATTTTTAGAAGATCCCAAATGTATCCCAGAGTCCAGTGTTCTCCATCAAATCAAGGTCAAATGTCAATTTTATCAAAAAGGCAAATAGAAACCAAAAGTGAAAAATTATTTTCTACCTGTTGTCCAACGGAAGCTAAACGAAAACACGAAGGCGGTTAGTTTTCCTTCTCACACATTCAGCATGATTCTGAGCTAGAAAAGTCTCACACCAGGGCACAGGCCCTCACTGACTTTATAAAGTATTATCTGTGTTTTGAAAAGTGCCACTCTGGAAGGGTAATGCATGATTTTTCCCATTTAAGACTCATAAAATAAGTTTTCTTATAGCTGAAAAGAAAAATCCAAGAAAGTTGTCTGGAGGTATTTTAATGTAAGGCAATAAAAAAAACCTATGGGTTTCCTACCTATTAGGCATCTCCCAGGCTTTCTGTTCCTGGTCCCACATGGTACTGTTCTAATAAGACTGCTCTGCCAGGCACTGCCTTCCCACTTGCTGGAGTCACAGACACCATAACTGCAGTCTTCCCCCAGACAGGCAGTGACCAAGTGGCTGATGGCCACAGTACCGCAGGGGCTCCCGGGGCTGGCTCCGAGCACTCACCTCCTGTTCCCTCTCCCCGCTGACTGCAGCACATTTCTTAGCCAATATGCTACATCTTTCTTCATATTCAATAGCTGCCTATTTCTTTAAAAGGCCTATGGAAAAGCTTAAGTTCTTTCTTACTCTCACTTTCCTAGGGCGAATTTATTCTGTCTTGTTACTCTATTTTCTTAGTGGGTAAAAGTAAAACTATAGAATAGCTTATTAGTCAAGTAAATTTACTCATTTGCCACTTTTCTATTACATCTGAGTAAAGCTAAGGAATCATTTTAATTAGAAGGTAGGGGGCAAAGATAGGACAATTGTGTATTTTTCAGTCATAATAATTTCAATCTCCCATCTTATTTCCTCCCAGGGAGACTCTTGGGGACTTGAAAACATACCCCAGATATTAATTAGTGTGGAAAGCACTTAATTTGGGAAGTCGCTTAGGCAAATGCACACATTTACAGTGGGTACAATATCACCCAAGACAGTACAAGTTGGTGGAAGTGGGGAATATGAGAAAAATCTGAATGCATACATTTTAATGTATACAATAAATGTGTACAATCTTTTTACCTATAAAGCACAGGTATACAGTATGTCTGCGATGGTACCATTTCACGGGGACCACCTCACACCCATATTTGAGCCCCTGCATTAAGTGCCACTAAACTGCCCACTTAAAAATGGTTATAAAAAATTTAATGTTATGTGTATTTTACTGTAATTAAAAATAATTAAATATTTTTAAAACTTCATGGGGGTGAGGCAATTCAGAAAAAAAGTGTCTTAAAAGGCTCCTTAGGGAGATCATTGTTTAAGGGGAAAAAGTTGAGAATGCTGTTCTAATGCTTCCTGAGGACTCCAGTGACATTGCTTTGCTCACAGGAGGAAAGACAACCACCACAGTGAGTCACATGAGATTTGAATTCTGTTCCAAAGCTGGCGTTCGTAAAAAAACCCAAAAACCTCTGTCTAGACGGCAAGCAATTTTTCTTCTTCAATTATACATCTGCTCCTACAAATGCTGGACTCACCTGCTAATAAATGGTCTAATGTTGTCCCCGGCGATGGGTGCCATAGACATTGGCATGGGCTCCGGAGTGGACAACCAGTAGGAATAATCATTTCGGGAGGCGAAGTTGCAGACGTTGTTGATATTGCAGAACAGGAAGGGCATCGTGCTGAACTTGCGCAGGCAGCTCCCAGCCGTGCCTGGAGGCGCAGGGAGAGATGACAGTGTGAAGCATCTGCTTTCTAACTCACTGGCTATTTCTGTGTAAAAGGGATTTGAGCTGGCTAATAATGAAAGATATACTCAACCTAACCATTAAAATGGGAATACTTTTTAAAATTATAAATAGAAGTAAGTATACTAAACTGACTAGTAAGATTATAAATGAGCATTAAATTAAACGTAAAGTAATCACGGCAAAAGGGAAACTATAAAGAATTATGTAGGACATTTTGATTGAATTCTAGAAGGTATTTAACATGGGCTTCCTTGTACAATGGATAGGAGCGCAGTGGATAGTGTCTTTAACAATCGTTTTGCCAAAAATGCAGAACTGCTCTTTCTATAGCTGCTTGTTGTTTGCAAGCTCAGGGAAAGTCAGAGATGCCTGACATTAAACCTAACCTGGATATCTGGTGGAGGCTAACTGGAGGGGACAAAGAAAATGATGACAGACATAAGCTTCCTGCTGATCTAAACTAACAGAAGGGATACAGCTTAGAACACGCAGAAAAAAATTTGGACAGAATAACATGGGACTTTTTTTTTTTTAAGAGCCAAAGTAAAGCTGTTCTATTTTAAAAATATCAGTGCCAACTTTCAAGTGTGTATTTCAGAAATCTGGATCCTACGTGAGAAACTGAAGTAGAGATCAAAAGCTTTATTAATTTAAAAATTTTCAAAGATTCAGCCTGTAATTTTCTTGGCTCCCCACAGTAATACAGTAGGTGTTACTTTGAATGGCTCATTTGGCAAGGATGAAGGAAAGTGGGGCTGAGCCCTCTTTTCATGAACTAGGTCCTCATTCCACCCTGAGCTACGGGACCAGAGCTAAATACAGCACCATACCACCGAGGCTCAACAAATCTACGGTAGATGATTCATGCATTTGTAAACATCTCACCTAAGTCCTGTCCGTGGGCCCTTTCATTGCCTTGCACATAGAGCAAAGAGTAACCATGGTAAAGAATTTTGGTCCCCGGAGGACACTGTGGGTCGTCTATTGTTTGACTGTGCCTGGTCACAAGGAAGCCATGATCGACAGATGGGGTGCCTGGGGGACCCATGGATCCTGGCAACCCATCGGGGCCTGGTGGTCCTGGAAACCCTCTTGGACCTGGAAGATAGAAGAGAAATTGGTTTCCCTGGTCACAGATAAGTTCCTCTGAAAGGCTTGAAGCAAGACCAGTCAAATACAACAACCCACCTTCTTCTTGCTGTCTTAGCTTTTCCTTTTTACATACCACCTTGAGATGTTTTATAAGCAAAGCAGATGCTCAACAAATTTAGTCCAATGAAAAAATAAAATATGTGAAAAGGATTACACGAGTAAATGGAATAAATGACATGATTCCATGCATGTAATGCATATAGCATTCGGGGGCCCCTCTAAGAAAGAATTATTATACAATTATTAAAACAACCTCCTTTTCAAGTGGCTTCCCTTCCATATCAGCCCAAAGCCTGTGCATGGAAGCAGGGCAGGAAGAAAGCTCCCATGCAGTGGGTCCTTTCATCCCCTGGGGTGACTGTGCTGCCTGCGAAACTGTTCACACACCTTCTGCTGGGCCGTGCCCCTTGTTCAGTTGCTCGATGCCCCGAGCCTTGAGCATCTCGGTCATTGTGGGATACTTGAGTGCCTGCTTCCTTGGGAAGCAGACCAACTTCACTCCGTGGCAGACAGTGGCCTTTTGGCCAGAACTGGCCTTATTATCTACTTTCCCTTGTCTGTTGCTGAAATAGAGATTCTGTAGCTGCTGCCTGCTTCCTTCATAGGAAACCACACAGGGCCATCACTACTGGCCTTCTTTCAACAACATCTGGAAAACATTGTGCTTTGATCAAGGTCTGCCTCCCTACACAGAAAAAGTGATGACAACCCTTTAGCTCTTTTATAGGATCCAATTTCTTCTAAGAAACGGACTTCTTTGGAAATCTTTCAAATAACATTTTTAACTCCATTTTGCAGTTTTCCATATGCCTGGGCCTTGCTTCTAACCCAAAGATAGAGGAAGAGGGTAGTAAGGTTGGGAGGCTGCAGCAAACCTACCAGGAGGTCCAGAGGGTCCCGTCTCTCCTTTCTGGCCAGGGGCCCCATCAAACCCGGGACTACCTGGTGGTCCAGGTACACCCACTGATCCCGTCACACCTAAAGGAAGAGAAAAAGAAGTTGGGATCTGGGCCTTGAGAGCAGGAGGCTATATCTTTTTCTTCCCTTTTGAAATGTCCTCTCTAGCCTTCTGGAAGGCGAGCACGAGGCCTCTGGCTGCAGATACAAGTTTCCCCAGAGAAGTACGATTGCTTCCTGCAAAGCCCTGTACACAGTTCACCAAAGCAACTGACAAATTGTAAGCTACCTTTCAATTCTAAATGTTTTCATTTTCCTTTATTTTCCACCCACCTCTTACCAATAGCTCTTGAAACAGGAAGTGTTCAGCCCAAACAAGCAGAAAGATTCTAGGTTAGGATGTCTTGGAACAAGAGAAATTAGCCCAAGTCTTTGCCAGTTGGGTAGAGCTTCTGGACCAATTGCCGAGAACACGAGTCCTTGCTACTTTAGGTTGCTGCTCCTTGCCACCCCTTATCTTCTAGCCGGGAAAGATGATGTTCCTTTCACCCATGTTTTTCTAAGTGAACACAGATGTGCTAAGTTGTATGTTCTTCTAGCTCTTCCTGTATTTCGTTCTGGCTTTTCTAGGTACACTCAAAAACTTTATTTGGTTTTGATATACATTAAAGAAAGGTAAGAAAATCATATTGAAATAGGTGTTTGTGTAGTCATTACCCAGAGATACATGGGTGAGGAGGAAATCCCCCCCCATTCCCTCTCGACCCCCACTCTTCCCTGCACAGCCCAGTTAATCTTACCTTGCTGTCCTTTGGGGCCTGGAGGTCCCTGAAACCCTTTCATACCGGCAGGACCCTCAGGACCAGGAGGCCCTGGCTCCCCTTTGACGATCTGATAAGGACCCGGGGGTCCTGGGAGACCTGGAAGACCTGTGGGAAAGAGGGATGCCACTGATCAATTTCATGGTCCACACACGGGGGGCAGAGAAAGCTTCAGAAGAGTCCAATGTGAAACCCAATCCAAACAGAATGTTTCTCAGATGAAAAATCATTATAAAAAACACAAGTAATCAGATCTTCATAAGTCATACATGTATCTGCACACCTTTATTATTTCACCTAAAATCCAGAGTCCTGGGGACTGGAGTCCAGAGACACTAGGGCCATTGATGCAAACTGTCTGGCCTCCCTGACGACCACCATCCGGCCCTCACTCAAACACTGCCAAGGGGTGAAGCTCACCCTCCCAGGCGTCTCTCTTGTGACTTGGATAGCTCCCATATTTGCAATTAGAAAGTTTTTTCTCACACTTATCCGAAAACTGCCAGTCTTACTTTTTAATGATGAACAAACTTAATCCTTCTTCTGTGTGACAGATCTTGAAATATGTGCAATAATAAAGAGTGTGCAGGGGATTCTGAGGTCTGCCTCAATCTCCTTTTTTCAGCCAAACATCTCTAATTCTCTCCTTCCACACACATTTCCCTATTTATTTTCTTTCTCAACACCCCACTTCTCACTGCATTCCAGTTGCTCATTTTCTCCCTTGAAACATGGCTTAAAAAATTAACCACAGCTCTAGAAATAAGGTCCAATCAGCAGAGACTACAATGGGATGCATGCTGTACTTAAACTACTTAAATTATCCTGTGCTTTTTGGATCCACTGCACACTGTCGCCTCCTAGTGGCTGGGAAGCTGAGGAAGACCCATTTCTATGAAGAAGTCCTTACTGTCCAAGCAGGTTTATTCAGCCTATTTGTGCAAGATTGATGTTATTCCTATTACAACTTCAAGTCACTGATTTCCAGTTGACCTTCAGAACCTGTGAGATTTTGTGAATCTTCAGTCTGTCATACCCTCTCCCCTGGGTTGACCTGTCGTAGATTTAACAAACAACTTTCAAGGTAAGTCACTGGTAAAAATGTCTATGAGATTAGCCAAATACAGCAATCCTGACAAGCTACCAAAGAATTTGGTTAATTAACGATTTTCTAATGATCATCGAGTCTTTTTACACTGGTAAAACTAAACACCCTAATTCTGTGAGTTCAATGGCTTTCATATTTCCTCAAATCCATAAGGCACATTCCAATACAGCACATTCTCTTACCTTTACTTCCAGGGAAACCTTGATCTCCTTGGTCTCCCTTAAGCCCCTGAAGACCAGGGAGACCTTTCTGACCTGGAAGGAAGCAAAACATTATCTTCGTACAGAATTCCAAAAGATATACAAGTGTGTGTACACATGAACATATGTATACACATATACACAAGTGTGTGCATATACATGCATGTGTGCATATACATACATATATGTATACACCCATGCATATGTGCACATATATACACATACACACTCATATAGTAAAAATTTTCCAATTTAGGCTCGTGGAAGAAAATAGCATTACTTCTGGTCAACTATAAATCTTTTGATGAAACTCTCCTTTCTAGAACCCGAAAGTGGTATTTTCAAACACGTAACAAACTTCAAAATGGTAACAACCAGTGGAGGGGCACGTGATACTGTTTTCAGTCACAATCTGGTTTACACATGTCCCCAAATAGACCACAAAACACCTGCAGGCTGAGAACTTGTTTTGCTTAACTTTCATTCATATGTATCTGATTCAGCAGTAAAAATCAGTGCCTGAAAACTGTTAGGCACCCCCTACATATTTGCTTAATACATTAATAAATTAATGAATGGACAAAATCCATGACTTCTTATTGATAGGAAAATAATTGAAACCCAAATGGATCCACTGATTCTTAGTAAGAAAATCATAATATCTTTATACAGCCATTCATAGGATTATACAAATTGGGTTGCCACACAGAAATAGCATTTTTAATTTGAAAAGAACAAGACCTTGTTCCATAATTATACTGGTTCTATTATATTAAAGTGCCAGTGCCAGTGGTTAGGAAGCTCTATAACAGGTAAATGTGTCTTTAAGCAGCATCACTTTTACTGTCTTACCTTGAAAACCTGGAACTCCTGGAGGTCCCATATCACCCTTAGCACCTGTGATTCCTGGAGAGCCACCAATGCCCTAGACACACAAAGAGAACATCAGTTGGGAATCATTCAAGAGATGAACAATAAGTCTCTCAAGTAACTGATCATCAGGAAGCTAGGACAGCCCCTCAATGTTCTGCAAAGTATCTTTGTGGATAAATGGTGTCTTGTGGTATCTTGAATGATGTAAAAAGAATGACAAAACCTCTATGTGTGTCTAAACAAGGTAATGAAATCAACTTGCTCCATTAACTGTGTCCCCTCTTCTTCTCCATCTATGCGGTAAATTCCAAGAGCAGGTACAAGTCTTACATTCTGCTGTGCCCACCCCACATCACAATGCCGTGAACAGAGTCGGAACTCCCCAAACATTTATCATGGCAGCGTGTCAATCTACCAATACCAAAGTACCTTTTTGGAAAACATTCCTCTAAACCCTCAAGCGCAGTGATTTTTCTTTAGAATTACTTTCGTATCTTATCTGATTTGAAATATGGAAAGATTTGAAAATGTGATTTGAAATATGGAAAGAAGATAAAATATACTAAAGGAAGATTATTTTTCTTTATCATACAGGAATATTCATGTATTTTAAAAATATTCTAGCTAACTCAATACAGTTGTTCTTTTCTCTAGTTCCTTTCTCAGTATATTAAAAAATCGTATTGTTTCTTATACATAGTTGTTTCTTTGCTTTATCTCATTTTGGTGCTATAACCAAAATAACATGCACAAATGTATACGGTTGACCCTTGGACAATGCAGGGGTTAGGAGTGCCAACCCCTGCACAGTAGAAAATTCATGTATAACTTTTGACTCCCCCAAAACTTAACTACAGTTGTCCTCAGTATCCATGGGGAGTTGGTTCCAGGACCCACTGCGGATACCAAAATGTGAGGATGCTCAAGCTCCTTACATAAAACAGCATAGTGGAACAGGCCATACTGTCAGCCCTCCACATCTGTGAATTTCCAACTACACATTAAAAATACTGTTTTCAATCTATAGTTGGTTGAATCTGTGGATGCAAAACCTGGGGACACAGGGGGCTGACTGTGTTCATCAAAAAAAATCCACATATAAGTGGATCTCTGTCATTCAAACCAGTGTCATTCAAGAGTCAACTATATGTAAGCATGTGTGTGTGTGTGTGTATACATATGTGTGTGTATGTGTATATATATATATACACACACATATATATGTATTTATATATGTGTACATATATTTATACATAAGTATATAGAGAGACTAGGAATGGAGAGTATATTTCTATGTTACTGAGACTTGTTTTGGAGTAGTATAACATTTCCCTTTAATGGTTACTGTAAAAAATGTTTAATAGTTGCCTACTGTAGTGCCAATAAAGATGGCTGATGACTGGCAAGAGAGGAGGAACTGGTCCAAAGAGGATTTGGGATTGTAACACATATTTATACACACACACACATTATTTTATGATCCTTTTCAAAATCAAGACCTACAAACGGAGAACTTACAGGCATGCCTTGGAACCCTGGGTCTCCCTTGGGTCCTGGAACACCAGGCGTCCCTGGCCAGCCCGGGCTTCCTCTTTCACCCTTCAGTCCATCAAGCCCAGGGAGCCCTGGAGGCCCCATTGGTCCCGGAGGCCCTAAGGGGAGACACAAAAGTCATACACGTGAGGTGAGAGGGTGATTTTATGTATGACTGTCACTGGCCCATGGCTGTCATCACTGGCACCCAACTGTCTCCAACTGTATATACAACACCACCGTATCTATCGTCACTCAACTGTCCCCAACTATATATAGCAACACTGTATCAAGCTGTGTGCACCCTGAAGAAATCGAGGCACCCTGGAAGGAAGAATCTGATCTGCTCAATGGACGGAAAATGTTGATATTAACACTGCCATCTCCAAATGCCCTATGTTGCTGTGCTCAAGGGTGGCTGCGCTGCAGTAGTCACTGTGGCCATGATGGGGGACTTGCCAGAATGTCATCTGGTTTAAAACAACCAGCACAGGTGGCATTTGTGCTCCAGTCCTTTTCCACAATGTCCTTTCTCTCCTCTCCCTAATTCCTTGTCATATATACTGAATTCCTTGAGAGAAAGGACACAAGAAATGCACTGACCAGTGTAGAACAAAATACAAAATGCCGAATGTCTTAAGCAGTTTCAAGTTGAAATAAATGCTGCAAACTTGTAAATAAAAACTCAATTGAGAATTTGTGTATTTAAATCTCTTTCACACTTGCATATATTTGTACCTTCTGTCTCAGTCCCAGCTCTGCCCCTGGTTAGACACCCTTACCTGGCAGGCCAGGTTGTCCCTGGGGGCCCCGGTCTCCTTTGGGCCCCTCCACAGGGCGGCCCGGAACTCCAGGTATTCCCGGCTGTCCTTGTGGCCCCGGAGGACCCGTGAATCCTCTCTCCCCTTTGGATCCAGGAATTCCTGGGCTCCCAGCTAATCCTGGGAAACCCACATCACCCTTTGAACCTAAACAATAAAAACAGATTGAGATCATGAGAAAGGCAAGGAAGAAGAGAAGCCCCAGTATACAGGAGGGAGGGGCTTCCAGAGGCACCAGGAGGAAAATGAGCTGGGTGCCCTTTTCTCTCTTTTTCATTAAATAACACTCCTACCATGGCCAACCTAAAGAAGAGTAAGCTGAGGATACAAGAGCCTGGCTATCGAAAGTTCTTTATACTTTTTAAAGGAAGTGTTCTATATCAAAGGCATTTGAGTATATGCTTAGATAAGCCTTCAAGCAATAGCGCTGCTAAAATTAAAGGCTGGCTTCACAAATAGGTGAATGGATAAACAAAATATGTTATATCCGCACCAAAGAACACCACTCAGCAAGAAGAAAAATGAATTATTGACACAAGCAACAACACAGATGAATCCGAAACTAATTATCTATGTGAAGGAGGACAGATCCAAAAGTAAAATACTGTAGGATCCCATTTATGTAAAATTCTAGAAAATGCAAGCTAATCTATAGTGCCAAAAAGCAAATCAATGGTTGGTTGGGTTGGGAGCAGGAAGAGATAGGAGGGGTGATGACAAAGCAGCACAGGAAACATTTGGGGTGATGGGTATGTTAACTCTCTTGAATGTGGTGATATTTTCATGGATGTATACATATATCAAGACATTAAATCACACACTTTAAATATGTGCAGCTATTGTATCTCAATAGTGATAAACTATTTTTAAAGTTTTTTTTAAGTAAGAGCTTTTAGGGGGAAAACCCCTGTATGTTTAGTTTTAAACATATTACTCAGAACTTACCAATGAAATACAAAACTTCTAGGATTATTTCAAAGTGATTAGGAAAAAATAAAAAGGGAAGGAGAGAGGGTCATTGCCTAAAATGATCATGGAGACCCCCTCCTGACTCTCCCTCTTATGTCTCACAAGGCAACGAATCCAAAACACAGTACACCGTGTGGTGGTTTGTCACAGGCCAGTAAACATGTCAATTAGATTGTCCCAAACCCAGTGTCTCTCATCCATGTCCAACTGCTTCCTTAAAACTGTTCGCCCTGTTCTGCAGGCACCGTGTGCATCATCGGTGAGTTGAAAAGAAAGAACTCACTGAGCAAATGTTACCTTTCTCTCCTTTGGGCCCTGGAAACCCTGGGAATCCTCTTCCAGGTAGACCTGTAAGATGAGCGTGAGAAGTAGTGTTCATCTTTCCTAAAACAGTCAATGCGCAGGTACAGTACAAAGCAGTACCAGCTCTTTGTACCAATACCCTGTACCATTTTCAGAACCCAGAAATAAGTTAATTGCACCACCGAAGTAAAATTACATTCCTATAGTTGTCCTAAGATACCCTTGACTGGATACATATAATTTAGTACTTTTTTTCCTAAGTACCTTTCAGCTCAGAACCATTATGACATTTAGCAGAAATAATCTGTACAAATGAGTACTTATTTCCTACTACCGTCTGGAGACTCGCAAATTGGCTTTTCTCAGATGACCATCCAACTAACAGCTATTCTCAAGAGAGGGAGGGGAGAGCCAAAGACATCTGGGGAAGCAGACATTGGGGAGCCCACAAATGTGAGTAAAGGGTTTCAGGGAAGATTAAAATGGGGGGAAGGAGATGTGGAAGCATTAAGAATTCTTTTTATAGAAAAATGAATGTACATAATATAAACACAAGGTATATAGAATGAAAAAATGAACTTAAAAAAAGAGGCTGGCACTAACAGCAATAAAGGCCCTGGATGCTCCTCCCCAGTGATATTTTCCTCCTTCCATCCCCTCACTGGGGGTAACCTCTTGCTACGTACAGGCATGTAAGCAACTGTCATCCTCCGAACTTGCAGCTAGCACTTTTGCCTAAGTTGCATCCTCCATCAGTGACAAGAGCAGGTTCAAGAAACAGCAAATATCCCAGGACCATTTCTCTAAAGAGGGAGATGCCCGGGCAGAGAAGGCGGTGGTCTGGACTTTCCATGTGTGTCTCTGTCACTCACCACAGAGAGCTCGAGCAGTTTCAAGAAAAGGTTTCCATAAGTATTTGTGAAGTAAGTAAATAAACAATCCCCTACCCCTTTTCTCCTTGTCTTATCCGAGCCTGCTCCCCTTGTCCACCCTGGTGTTTTAATGGCTATAAGAATGAATGGCACAGGGACCACTCTGTACCCAGCCCTGGTCACTTAGCATGATCTGTAAGTCTCTGGGAGATGTTCACTCCAGAGAACAGTTTCATTCTGAAAGAGAACGGCAGCTGGACATACCTGGTTCACCCTTCTCTCCTGCCGACCCTGGAATTCCGTCGTTGCCGGGCTCCCCTTTCTGGCCAGCTGGGCCAGTCGAGCCGGGCTGTCCAGGATGACCTCAAAGAGAAAGGTCATGTCAGTCATGCATGGAACCTCTCGCAGTACCTTGGTGCGCGTGAAAAATGCTACATTCCAAGCACGCCTGGTGCCCCCGAGTTTACGCCTGACATCCGTCCATGCTGCTAGCAACACCACTGCTCTCCGATCCCAAAACAATGGTGAGAGTGGAGAGAAAGTACATCAAACTCTCTTGTCAGCCCATGTATAACTCTTCCTAGAACCAACTGGAACCAACTATAAAACCAGTTGGGAGACTTTGGTTTTAATTCCTAACTGGTGGCCAGACCTTGAAAAGGCCCTGTAAGGCCCCCAAGGCTGTTTGTTCATCTGAAAAGTGAAGGGGTGGGCCTGGCTTGTCTCTGGTCATCCAGAGGTCACTCAGCAACATCCTGTGCCCATAACTTGCCATTTGTGAGGGTAACTCCCTGGAAACTTTGATGTCCCATCTCCTTGGCCATCACCTTGGCCTCTTTTCCATGAGCCCCAATCTGTGTTCGAAAAAGTGGTCTCTACCTGGTTCTCCTTTGATGCCAGGAATGCCATCCAATCCCGGGAGGCCTTTGTCACCTTTTTCTCCAGGCAACCCAGGGCTCCCTAAATCAAAAACAAAATACCAGAATGCCCATGACTTTGAGTTTTTCATTGTCACCTCTGAACCCCAGCTCCAGGGAAGGCTCCAGCTCACCCACCTGGATAGCCAACACTTCCTGGTGATCCTTTGGGGCCGGGAGACCCGGGCATGCCTGGAAGCCCGATGCTTCCTTTCTCTCCCTTCTCTCCAGGGCTTCCTGGAAAACCTGCTACCCCTTGATCTCCCTGTGAGTAAAAATCAGACCCATCAATTTTATTTTATTATTATTATTATTTTTAAAAATACATTTATTGATTTCCAAGGGAAGAAGGGAGAGGGGGAGAGAGAGAGAAACATCAATGATGACAGAGTCATTGATCGGCTGCCTCCTGCACAGCCCCAACTGGGAATAGAGCCCGCAGCCCAGGCATGTGTCCTGACTGGGAATTGAAGTGCGATCTCCTAGATCGTAGGTTGATGCTCACCTGCTGAGCCATGCTGGACCCATTAATTTTATATCTGTCCCTGAACATGTGTCTGTAGACACTTTCTAGATAATCCTATACATTTTGGTGCAATACATGTTGCATTGCAGGGGTTCATTTCCAGCTTTCTAACCAAAGAATCAAAGTCCACATCTGAAAACAGGAAAAACTAGAAGCCCAGAGCAAAAGCGCCAATTGTCTGTCTCTAAGTCTCATGTTTCTCTTCACCCTCCCTCTCTCTTGCTTTCTCCAGTGACAGCTTGCTGCCCTTGCCTCTCAACAAGTTTCCAGATTTTTCCTTGGGATGGGTCAGGAATAGAAGTAGAGAAGAAAAGCAACTTAGAACAAATTGAGGGACATTGTTCTATGTTATGATTCACTTAATGTGCTCAGATACTTCCTAAAAGTTCCCAATGAAGGATTTCCACGTGGGTGGGAGGGGCAGCTCCCTTGCAGGCTGCTGTTACCTTTTCCCCAGGCTGTCCGGGAATCCCAATGCCAGGTCGGCCGGCCTGCCCTTTCTCCCCTTTTGCTCCTTTCTCTCCAGGTAAGCCAGGGACCCCCTGTGAGCCGGGGATTCCAGGCACGCCTTTTTCGCCAGGTGTTCCTATAAACACAAACAAAGGAAACTTACATGTGTGACGAGCAGGTACTAATAACAAAAATGAAAATGCACCTTGACAACCAACCGAGAGTAAGGTGAAAGAATACATATCCCTTCATTTATTCATCTGTAAGTCATCCTGGCAGATGCCAGCCACCCAAACCCATTAAAGCCACACAAGAAAAGGTTCCTCCTTTTAAAGACAATCATTTCATAAAAAAAGAAAAGAAATATATTAACCACTTAGCATATTTACTTTCACAACAATATAAGAAATGGTTTTTATGTTCTATAGTCTACAATCAACTCTCATTATCTGGACGAATCAGAGGGGCATGAGGCAGGCCATGAAAAGCCCATGTGTACTTGGTTTCATAATGTACGTGGGTAGCCAGACCTCTTTATAAATAAGTGTAACCAGCAACCTAACCCTGTCTGCATTACCCTTTAGCACCCTGTCTGCATTACCACCCAGACCAATCCAGACTCTTGAGCTCTTTGCCTTCTTTTACATGGCTCCTCTCTGGCTGCTGTTCCTGGAGCGAATGCTGACAGCAAAGTGTTGAGGCCAGCTCAGGATTGGGGCAGAAAGGCCCAGAGCATTCTGCTGAGCTAATGTCAAAGAGCTTAGAGGCATGAGCTACTTGTGCTGACAAAACTGAATGCAAACTAAACATCTCCTGGGGAGATAACAGCCAGCTGGATAATCACTTGGAAATCAGCGAATGTTGATGGTGTACAGCCCATGTTTTGTTATTAAATTGTGATTTTTGTTTTTTTAGCAATGGTCATAGTGCCAGCCAAATACCACCCACCCCTAGGCAAGAGACCATAAAGAACTGAAGATGTGTGTGTGAAAAACACATCTGCCTGGATTACGTGCTCAGAGCAGTGGATCTCATTCTGCAGACTTGCCCCACAGCAATGCATGTGCATGTGCCAGAAAGACTACTTTTCTAAATCCAATGTACCTGGCAGGCCCATTCCACCAACCGATCCTTTTGGTCCAGGAAGTCCTGGAGCACCTGGGGTTCCGCTTATGCCTGGATCACCTTTAGGTCCTGGAATAATAAAGAGAAAAACCAAACAGGTTAATGCCTACAAAATATGCCAGTTAACATTTCCTCAGCATGAGCTCCTGCCATGCTGGTAAATTTGAACTCCATTTCGTACCTGGCTGCCCAGGATGCCCTGCTTGGCCGTCCTTTCCTGGCACTCCTGGGGTTCCAGGGTCTCCTCGAGATCCTTTATCACCAATTGGTCCAATTTGTCCTACAAAACACATACACAAAAAATAATGATGACCCATGACTACTTAAAATAGGGCAGTGCTGCAGAAGCACAGGTTGCTTTGATATTATGTATGGAGAACCAAACGACTGGTTAGGCAAGTTGTTCTATCTCCACTGTTAAAAACCTCCTTCCAGGTTACCTTTGTCTCCTTGCTCTCCTTTCTGACCCTTCATGGTGCCCATGTCAAGTTTGTCCATGGTCCCAGGCTTGCCAGGGAGACCAATAGATCCTTTTTCACCCTTTAAGCCAGGGTCTCCCCTGGGTCCTGAGGAGCCTGGAAAGCCATGATCACCTGTAGAGGAAAGAGAAGGCACCCAGTGAGATGTGGTCAAGTGTCTCCGAGGCAGTGACAAAGTGTGGCATGCTTTCTGGCTAGTAGAAACCACTGATAAAGAAAGTGTAAAGAACTAATAGACTGTCTGAAAATGGCATTAAATGGTAAATGTCTGAGTTATCTAAAAGAATCTGATCCCCGATCAATGAACAATAAGTCCATTTCTTAGAATTCATTATTTGCTAACAATTCTAATATATATGTGTTTATTAGTTTAAATAATTTAGATTTTCTCTCCTTCTTAAATATCTTTACCACTCCTGTTCATGGTGCCCTTCAATTCTATACGAAATAACAGAATAGGAATATTCCTTTTCTACTAAATAAATCACCATTTTCATGTCTCACATTCAAAGTAAATTTCTTTAAAAAAAAAAAAATACTTTGGACCAAGTTCAAGTAACAAGATAAGAAATAAAAATTAAGACTTATAAATGTGCTCAGTTTGTTCATTTGAGTCTAAAGATTCAGTTCCTGTGACCTCACACAACTGAAGATTCCACCATTTCTCAAAAAAATAAGAATCACAACTGTGCCAATAAGGAAAACCTGAAACTTGTCTCCTCTGTGATTTGTTGGCAGAGCACAGCCTTTAACTGCACATACACTGCACCATGAACTCCTCCTGAAAGAGGAATCTTCCAGATCCTTGCTCGATCTTCTTAACATTCTTTCCTTCGCCTCTTGAAATGAAATGTGATGTACAACCATTTGAGAATTTTCCAAGAGGCATTGAGACATAGACATAAGACAGGCTTTTCTGAAGTTATTGGATCCTTACCTTTTGCACCTGGCAATCCTGGCATGCCCACTGGTCCTGGAGAGCCAGGCTGCCCCGGGGTCCCCATGACGCCCATCTCTCCCTTGGGACCTGTGGCCAGATGGAAAGACCATGAACACTGATGACAGATGCTATGGGTCATTAACAAGACGAGGTAATGTGTCACCTCAGCATCAATTTGGGGCAGGAGCCCACAAATCATTTACCTTGAAACCCAGGAAGTCCTGGTGTCCCCTGCTGTCCAGGAAGCCCAGGAAGCCCCGACTGTCCTGTTAGGCCGGGGAGCCCTTGACCGCCTTTATCTCCTTTGGGGCCGGGCATGTCCAGGCCTGGGAATCCGGGGAAGCCCTTCTCTCCTTTCACTCCAGGAGGGCCTGAAGGTGGGTGGAGAGCAAATAACCGTTAGCAGAACTTAAAGCAAGCACCCTCTGCAAAGCACTTTGCTGGGTTTGTTACTTTCTGCAGAAAGTATGTGAACTTGATCACCTTGGGGGTTTGGATAGTTGTCACCTTCCCAGGTAATGGTGTTTGGGGCCACTGAGGCAGTCAATGGATAAGCAATGTCCCAGGACAAAGTCCCTCCTTTCTGCGATTGGTAGTCAGTCATTACCACTTGAAGCACCACCCAGTCTCCGCAGTATTTAGACCTAAAACTAGCTTCTTTTCAACAGCTTTTCCCTGATTATCTTATCATATTCCACCATTACTGTCTTAGTTCTAGAATTATTAAAGGCAACAGAAGCTTGTAGATGTGGACTCAGTTTAAGTTATTCACAACGCATTTACCCTTCTATGGAAAGATAAGATATACACACCAATTATTTTGAATTTGAAAGTTACTGACTACACAATAAAGGGGAGGTCTCTTGGGCATGTAAACCAAGCCCAGTGGGAGGAAAAGAAAGACACCTGCGACTACACTGAAGCAAACACCAAACTTATTTCCACAAAATAAGTTACTTTTTCCCTTTTTATTCACAGATCCTGCTAATTCCCTCTTCGTGGAGACCCCAGCATCAGCTCCTATCCTGTTATGAATATGATTTAGAGAAGAAATAATTCCGGAAGAATGTTACGTCACCTGATGACCCTGGTGGTCCCTGTCTTCCGGGGGGGCCCATCACTCCAGGGGGACCTACTCCAGGAACTCCCAGAGCTCCCTTGGGACCTTGCAATCCAGGAGGTCCCGGGTCACCTGGATAGGGAAGAAATTATGAGTAAACTGTGTGGGACCACAGCGTGTTTCACAGCCTACGCTACCTTCTTGAACAATAAGCCCAGCAAAGGAAAACCATATGCTCTGGGCCTTCTAGGATTTTCATCATTCATTCACCAAATACTTACTGAGAACCTAATAGGTACACTGGGGACACAAAATAAACAGACTCAGTCTTTGCCACAGTTTAGATTTATTTGTAAGAAGTTACCTCGGATTCCCTGAAGGCCGGGGGACCCGATCGCTCCGTGCTCTCCAGGAATGCCTGGTCCCCCGATGTTTCCCTTCTCCCCGGGTGTGCCAGGAATGCCTGGAAGACCTGGCAATCCTTTGAGTCCTGGCAGACCAATTCCAGGGTCTCCCTGGAAATCCCCAAAGCATAGAGAAGAAGTTGATGGGCAAAGCCCATGATTTCATCAAGCCAAGAGCAGAAGTGCAGACGGTTAACTGATACTGTGCCGCATTTAATAACATCTGTCCAATCTGCTTCAGTCTGAAAAGCTTCCTCACATCTACTATTTCCTTACAATCTCACTACAAGCCGAAAAGGTAGGCAATTTTTATCATTTTCATTTTACAAAGGAGGAGAGTCAAGGTTCCCCATGGTTGAATGACTTGCCCAAAGTCACAAAGGCAGGATTCCCACCGGGTCTCCTGGCCTCTTGGCTGCTGCCTTGTATCTGTGAAGAACAGACTCTAAATATTGGACTAAATGCCAAATGTGATTGGTGACCGGCTGTTAGATATTTTCTTAAGAGGTGGAAAACTTCCAGGACTGGAACAGGTCACTATTTACGTAGATTTTGCTTTAAGGAAGGCTTTCACATCAAAGTAAACACTTAAAACTATTTCATAAGTCAAAGGGCTTTGACAAATGCCAATGATTAAAAATAAAGGAAGTAGCCTGAGGGCCTGAGAGTGCTTTCAAAACAGCCCAATACAGGCACTGAAACAGGCTGTTTGAAGCAGTAGGTGGACATTACATCCATCACGGTGCCCTTCTAGTGTCCACTGTTGGTGACAACTTCCAGATAAGGTCTCTTTGGACAGGATGGGGCACTGGTGACTTCTTTACACATCCCAGCAGGAAATTTGCAAAACGGCAGGAACTCAATTCAAGAGATTTTTGAAAAAGCATAATATTTTACATCATGAACCAAATCCTTAATTCCAAGTCCCTTTGGTGTTTACTGTCTCATGAGCCCCACATGGTTAAGGTGATCCACCTGCCACCACTGCTGACTAATTTTTCAAACCAAGTGCAGGTTAGGAGTGTACTATAAAAACAGATATCTGAAGGCCTCTGTCCTGTCTTAGCCACACAGAGCAGGGACACCATGAAGGTAGGAGTTTCTCAGGAAGGAGCTTCCCAGGGATTACTGAGGCACATGTGCCTCCATGCACACCTGCCAGATACCCACAGCTTCATCTGCCCTCCCAACAGAAAGGAAACAGGCCAGCCTAGGTCTACACTGGCAAGGGATTCCCCTTGGCCCTTTCTCCAGCTTAGGACCAATGCCTTCTGGGAATTTCACTTCCTTTCCTTATAATCAGAACAGTAAAGGATCTGACCAACAGTCACCTAAACTTACTGAGCAGAATTTCAACTATCAGCAAGTGGGCAGAGGGATGTTTGAGGGCAAGGAGAGTCTTGAAGCCACACTAGCCCAGGGGTTCCTAACCAGGGCCATTTTGCACCCCCGGATGACATTTGGTAATGTCTGGAGATATTTTTGATTTTCACAGCTGGGGTGGAGATGGCTTGCTCCTTTGGTATCTGTGGTTAGAGGCCACAGAGGAGGCTGCTAAAGATCTCAAATGTTTGGGACAGCCCCCACCACAAAGAATCACTAGGCCAGCAAGTCATTAATACGGAGGCTGAGAAAACCTATGCCAGACTCCTCTGGGGGGCTAGTACATCTTGTAGGACAGTGGCTTTCAAACAGCTTTCTTCTGCCACCCACAATAAGGCAGACATTGTACGCTGAGATCCAGTATACACACAAGCAAGAACATACTCATGAAGTTGAAACAAATGATTCTCCCCAAAACATTTACTACCATGTGCTGGTATTTTGGTATTTTCTATTCTATGCTATTTCATTAAAAAACTAAACATGCTGGTCCCACATAGCCTGTGAGATTACTAACACACATTTTATGTGTCCAATTAATCACAAGGATGCAGGACACGGCAATCCAGAAAACACTCAGAACCCACCTTTTGGCCAGGTGGACCTGGGTTGCCAGGTAAGCCATTAAGTCCTGGGCGACCTGGATTCCCAGGTTGTCCCACATCTCCAGGTAAGCCATCAACACCTATTTTGAAGAAACAAAATAATAATTAATGTAATAATGCCATTGCCCACTTTCTTCGCTTATTTTACACTTGCTCGAATGTAACTGCACTGATTTGAGGTGGCCTATGAAAAGGAAGCCCTATCCAGGTGGTTCTAAGAGGAAGATGAGACCATCTTTGTCATGGTGGTACCACCAGTGCCATCTGGGGCAGCTCAGGTGTATGAGCCACTCTCAGTGCCTGCAGCCCCTCCTCTTTATCTCACACCAATCCCCATCCCTTCCTTTTCTTCTGCTCACTTTGAAATTTTCTCTCTTGTCTTATTCCCCCAAAATAAAGTAAACACTTTGGTGTTTGCAGACCAAGAATGGCACGTTAGACTCTTACTACTCCAAGTGTGGCCATGAATCAGGAATATCGTTGTCACCCTGTTAGCAATCTGGCCCAGATCTATGGAAGCCGATCCACATTTTCACAAGACCCCTCATGATTTGTGGACACATTCAAGTTTGAGAAGCACCGCTTTAGAACACTGGAGGCACATGGAGACATTCAGAGACTGGGTCCCAACCCGAAGGTTCTGACGGGCTTTCTAACAGCTCTCGTGTGCAGCGAAGGCTAAGAGACACTGGTTTACACCCCTCCTGTGGGATGTGGGGGACCATGACATGCAGTCATTTGTAAGTTTGCAGAAGCACAAACCAGAGTCATACCTGCTGTGGCTATTGTGCCAAGGGGCCTGGACAGAGAGCGGACCTAACCACCCACCAGCAACTGCATCTCCAAGCAGCTTCATGAGATGTGGGCAAAGGGCCTCTAATTAAGGAGACCTTTATCAGATAAACTCTACCTGTCATGATGGCAATGGTATGGCTCTCATATGGAGTACAGTGGGGTTCATGAACATGCAGAAGGCCTATGCATTGTCCCCCATGACCCTGGAGGGTCACCAAAAGCCTTCTGTCCTTTACAGCTCACAGAAGTAGCCACGTGCATGGGTGGTTATTATGTGGCTCCTGGAGGAAACAGGCTGCTGTCTCCTGTCCTCCAAGCGTCAAAGCTGTAACCATGACAGTGGGAGTGATGCATGTCTCTAGACAAGAAGACAGGAGACCGGAGAAGTCTTCAAACTCAGTTTTGGCCAAATGGCTGGTAAAACTGGAGTCAGGATGTTCACCCAAATGAGAAAGACATGTCCCCTATCGCTCATAGCACCTTCACAGTCCTGGGCCATGTTCATAATGGCAAGTCTATATGGGTCTATCTGAAGGACTAGCCAAATACGAAAGCAACAAAAAAGGGTGAAATTGTCCTCTTTACTTCCCACTATTTTCAGAAAGAAGTGCTGATTCTAATATCAGCATTCTGTGGAGATATTGGCCCACAGTGTAGGGGCCTTGCCCCCAAGAATGAAGCCCCCTCCTAATGCCCCACACCTTCCCCTCGACCTTTCCTCTGACTTCCACGTCCAGGCTGGTGTATGTCCGGCCGGCTGTATATTCCCCTCACTAATGACAGAGAACTGCCTCCGGGTGGGTTTAAACAAATGTAGCATCTGCCAGCTTCCTGGGCAGCTTCCAGTCCCCTAATGTTCCAACTCTTTGCCAACCAAACCACTCTGCTGGTGGGCACCATAAACCTATGGCCTTGGCTACTGAAATCACCACCTTCCATACTGTGCAGCCCATTGGCAAAACTTCCCAACTACTCTCATAATGTCTTCACGTCCATTGCCACCTATTCTCGTTAATTCAAGTAAAGTTGAATGGAGAGAGCACAGCCCTTGGTGCTGCCCAGCCAGGGGACGAACGACACCAGTGGGGCCCACATGGGCCATGGGCAGAGCGACGGTCCCACTCATGGTTGGATGCCCCCTACAGGCTTACCTTTGGGGCCTGGAGGCCCTGGAAATCCAATCCCCGGCTGGCCCACTGCGCCCTTCTCTCCTGGGAGGCCAGGCCTTCCCGGGGTTCCAGGGAAACCTCGGTCACCTGTTGTGGGCAAGACCAATAGTCAGTGTGAGAAAAACCTGAGAAGGTTCCAATTCTATCTCCAGGTGAAGGAGAACTCGAAATGTACCTTGGGGCCCTTGGAAACCTGGGGAACCCGGAAGTCCATCTGCTCCAGGGGGACCAGGTAAAGGCACAACTCTTCCTGCTTCACCCCTGAGACCTGGGAAAAAAGAGCAAGGACATCGTGTGAGCCAGGGCATCAAGTCCTCTGAGCATGCTCTGTGTACCTGGAGAGACACCTCCATCTGCACACCTCCGTTTCCTCCCTCTGCTTTTCTAGAAACTTTCACAGAGTGTTCCTTCTTTCCCCAAAACTCATGCATGTCCAAAGTGACCTAGACTTGTTTGACAGAATTCCATAATGGTCCAAAGTAAGAGTCATGGAGAACTGAAAAGTCTACCATGACAAAAGGTGGCTCTGTCTGGGTCATTTCTTAATTAGTCTGTCTCTCAATTTTCCAGCCAGCACTAATTCTGAGCTGCTTTGAGACCAACCTAAGTTATGTCCATCTGGTGGTAAATTACTTTCACAGCGTGCTAAATGGGTGATTGTGCATTACTGGTAAGAGTGAGGCTGGACAGCTGTGCGCTGTCTCAATCAGCACAAGCTAGGAGGTGTCAGCCTGGCACCCAGGACATTTGCACCTAGGAGATCCGCTTTGTGTCAGGATTTAGCTGTTAAGAAAGGACCAAAGGGATCATCCCCAGGAATGTGTGCACTGACTCTTCACATACCTTATGAGAATTCAAGATACGTAGGCCACCCAGTAACAGCCAACACATTCTTGAGCTACAGAGTGTGGGAAATGCCTACTGACTGTTCCCAACACACATTTGCTATATCAGTTCTACCCCCTGAGAATGAGGCTTTTATGATCACCAGAGTAAACAGAGTTCTGGCAGATCAAAGAAGGTCGGGTTTCTAATCCAAAAGCTGACTAGGTCTGGGTGGCTAAGAAACTCTACAGAATGTGGACAGAAATCAACAGCACTGTCAACAATGCCTCCTTCAGGAACCTTCCTCCCCATCCTGCCAGATGTATCCGTATGTGCCCCAGTTGGTTTTTCTGACGGCAGTTTCTGGCCAAGCAGAAGGTCTGATTCCTTTTTATAGCTCTGTAAGTTTTCAGATCCCACAAGTACAAAGAACACTTAATATGTTGATTTTGGAATCAGGAGCTGAAGGGAAGTGATCAGAGGTCTCTTTTCTAAGACTGCGGGGGTCTTTCTAAGTCAAACTCAGTATTGCCCTGCCCCCAAAGGAGTCACAAAAAAGACATTTCTCGCTAAACAGAGAATTATCAGTGGAGTCATAAGTTGTTGCTAAGTTACCAGCGTTCTCACAAACAATGAGAATGAGAATAATGACAGATCCATTAGGATGCTAAACTTGGACTTCCATCAAAGACTAGCTAGTATTTCTTGTGCCAGAGTGTTTATGAGCTTTATACTATGTCTTAATAAGGAAATAATAGTTCCCAAAGGGCACAGGAATTGATAAAACTTGGGCTACATACATGACCAATGACAGAATCAGTAAATCTGTGAGCAAGAGAGCAGTAATGCAATTGCCCTTACGGAGCTCTTGTATGATATATTGATTATCCAGCTACTTAGTTATTATGTTTTTCAATGTTTATTAGTCACACAATTTTAATCACCCAAAGTCCTTCCATTCAATTTTTACAGCTTTTAAAACATGTCTTAGGAAAATGCGCTTCCTCTTTTCTCCTATACCCACACCACTCCTGGCCTCTACTCTTCTCATTCGAGGGTTCTCTGGGGAAAGATGAGTGTTTCATTTCCACCCTGAATGATATTCAACTAATACCTTATTGCGAGCCTACTGTGTGCAAGGCCTGGGGCTCCCCCGTGTGCACTTTTGTCCCTGACAATGAGGCTGTAATGGAGAATGCTTGTGGGAAACCCTCACATAATCCTTTCTCCACGTTCTCAGCCACGCCCTGGACAGTGAGCTCCGGGAGGGCAGGGCTGGGTCTGTCTCGCTTATCACTCTCTGATCACCACACAGCACAGGGCTTGGCACACACAATCATGGAAAAAAATAGTCAGCAAATGACTGAAATCAACAGTGACATTGACACTGCTGTAGAATTAGTCAACAGGCAGGGTACTGCGTGGGATATCCAGACGCCAAAATGGACTGCATATGGGGGAAACCCAGGAAATAGATGGGGGGGGAAATGGGCTTATGTTGGAATCACTTCCACATAAAAGGTTGACTTTAGCTGGTATAGGCTATATATTTATTATAAGGAAAATCATCTATATATATTCTAATTATTTTCAGCCAAATCCTACATACTACATGCCTCATCTTATATGTAAACAAACAAAGGTACATAAAGGCCAAAGAAGAACTTGCCCAGGTCACCCCTGAAAGAACTAAAACCAAACCCATGTACCCACATCACTGAGCCTAAGACCTTGTGCATCTTTGAGCTGCACCTGAGGTCCTAAGGCCTCACCTGGCTGGCCTGGGGGTCCAGGGTTTCCTGGAAAGCCTGCTTGTCCTTTGTCACCAATGGGGCCACTTGGGCCATACCCTGGAGGCCCAGGAGGGCCGATGTCACCACGACTGCCGGGAAATCCAGCTCCTCCAGGGGGGCCACGGTCTCCTTTTAATCCTACTAAACCCTGATGTGAAAAGAGAAAAAGAAACGTTATCAGCAGACATACCAACACTCCTGCCCGTGTCACATTTTCCACACTCTGTAGTAAATAAGTACCAAGGTTTAACTGGCTTATGCTATTTATTTACTGTAACCCTTCTACAAAGGTCAATTTGTGGTTAATAAATGAAACCAGCAGTCTTTTCTCTAAGCTGAGCCATCCTCCTCCCTCCCTTATCCTACAGAAGGAGACACTTCAAAGAGTGAGGTATTTATATCTGGAATCTTCTTTTAAAGGATGTGCATGAATGCCATTAACTTGAAATTTCACCACCCTTCCAACATAGGAATGTCTTTTCAGTCGCCTCCAATACATCAGAAGACACTGATCTGTTATCATCCAATTACCAAGTCAACACTGGCAACACCATCAGCATAGGTTTATAGACTTAAGTTTTCCCATGAACCAGAAAATAAGTTCATTTATGACAATGACCATTTAAGTGAAAATAGGTAGATATGATACAAATTATTCATTTCTTTATTCTTTGCATGCCCATCTGTAAAGTGCATGTTCAAAGTCTGGAAATAAACATACCGGGGAGCCTTTGGGGCCGGGCAGACCTGGATGGCCATCTCTTCCGGGAGAGCCTGCTCTGCCTGGCATACCAGGTTGTCCTGGAAAACCTGGGTCTCCTTTGTCACCTTTGAGTCGCATGTCGAAGTAAATCTCACCAGGCTCTCCCTTGGCTCCTGGCTGGCCCATCAGCCCTGGTGAACCTTGAGGGCCCTACAAGAACAAAACTTTATGACACCACTCATGCTGGTTACAAGGTCAACAAGAAAATCAAAAAGCTACCTCCTTAAAAACTGGCAATGTGTTTAGGTCTCCTCATTCATTTTTCTAGGAGCCATCCAATAGCTCTGTGACTAAGCCCTGATCTGACCTAACTTCTCATAAAAACACTTAAAAAACATTCTTATGCCCAGCCGGCATGGCTCAGTGGTTGAGCATTGACTTATGATCCTGGAGATGGTGGTTTCGATTCCCAGTCGGGGCCTATGCCTGAGTTTCAGGCTCAGTACTCAGCAGGGGTTATGCAGGAGGCAGCCAATCAATGAATTTCTCATCATTGATGTTTCTGTCTCTATCTCCCTTTCCCTTCTTTTCTCTGAAATCAATAAGGATATATATATTTTTAAAAAAAAAAACAAAAAACATTATTATGTATTCTGAACAGAGACTGGAATGCAACAGGGGGAATAATGGTGTGGCACTGGGTACCTAGATCATATAATAGTTCTTAGGTAACTTTCCTGTCCCTTACAACTGTTAAACATTCACAAGAATATTATAGCCCCTGAATGTGTAACATCCGGGGCTCAGGCACTGGAGAAATGGCTTCTAGGTGCAGTTGGTGGTTAAGAGTCAACAAAGGCTAGGAAGGACCATGTTTTCTCTAAGTGTGGTCATTGCTGAAATTGTACAGGTCTCCTTTCACGCTTACGCTCCAAATTCTGGAAGAGAGAAGGATTCCAGGGCACCAGGGAGACAGAACACTCTGGGAAGCGAGCACTGGGCCAGCTCTAAAATTACTCTGAGCAACTTTCCCAAGAGACAAACGCAGGACATTTTTCAGTTCCTGGAAAGTTAAATCTGCAAGGAATGCCCACACCCATAGACGGTTTCTCCTCCAGCCACTCTGAGAGCTGGGGTTCACAAGGCAAACAGCCAAGGTTGCAAAAACTGTCTCCCTTACTTGTTCTCTTAGGCCTGAGAGAAAGCTCTTCAGCCTCCCTGCTGACTTGGCAGAATTTAAAACTCTTCACAATTCATTTAATTTGAATTCATTTTTATAAACTCCCTTTCAACTGGTTCTTGGATATACGTGAATCACACATATGTGTGTATGTGTAATCTATACTTCTCAAAGGAAGACACTGAAGACAAACAACATCCCAAAATGCATACAATCTTTAGATTTAAGGAATGGCTACCACTTATTGAGCGCCTGCCACATATTCCAATCATTTTCCTGTCCCAACTCGGCAGGGAAAATATTCAAAGCACCATTTAGCAGGGAAGGCATGGGGATTAAAATGTTTGTGGAATGTTTTATTTTCTTCTTTATCATGGCTTCTACGCAACCATCCTTCTCCCTCCTCTGCTTCCCCATTACCCATTTTTATTAGATGTGAGGCCGGAGAAACGGGTGTCTGGGCTGCGTTTCAGGCACAGTGGAGGCAGGAAGGATCCCAGAAAAGCCAAGTAGATAAAGACCATGTCCAGAGGTTAAAAGCATCCTTTACTGCCTGCTTCAAAGTTCTTCCGCCTTTGATCGCCACCCCAGTCCAGGCTTCCCAGCTATGGGAACTTCTCATGCATTTAGAAATATTTTAAACAACTGCAACTTCTAACTTATCTCCCCAGGCCCAGGAAAGCTCTGGAAAGCAGGATCTCAAGACCTAACTTCAAAAGGAGAAAACTACTGCAGAATTCCAGCTGTTTCAGTCCCATTTCAACTCGTTTTATCCCTGACCCGCCTTTACAGAAGCATTCAGTAATATTTTTTAAAAATACGAATATTAAAGAGCTACAACAAAAACCAATAATGCTAAAGATTTGCGGTTCAATTTATGACAAAAGAAAAAAAAAAAGGGAAACAAGAATAAAAGTAATTGTAGAAACTGGTTAACGCTCAAAGAACTTATAGGAACCAAGAAAATACGAGGACAATGTCCTAAGGTTTACGGGCTTTAGATATAAAGCTGCTTATATGAAATAAAATGTCCTTCAATATTTAAGATTATTACTATTCTATTCAATTGGTCCTTTTAAAACAAAGCAGAAAAGTGAAAAGCTGGCATTTTGATTAACTGAAAGGTTTCATGTCCATATGATCAAGATATTTCATTTACAGATATGAAAAAGCATCTTTACAACAGAGGTGAGTGAAAGGAATTTTCAAAATATTTATCTGTTAGAAGAAGAATAAAAATAATATTTCAAATTCCTAGAAAGAAACAGGTCAGTTTTCCTCTCTCTCTCCCTAGAAACGATTGGTGCTAAATATCCATGAGCATGTTTTTAGACTATCTGGTATGATAAACAATGACTGTGCAGAAGGACAATTCAACTCAACAGTGTCGCTGCTAAGAGGTGACTCTTGGGGCACCATTGGTTTCAAGAACTCCCAGAGACCCTGTGGGAAACGGACACACCAGCATTGCGCTGCGCCTGGACACAGGTAAGCGGCCCCTGAATTATGACCAGGTGAGAAGGTGGCTGAGATGCGGGTTCTGGATTCCAACGGCCCTGCTCATTCTCAGGTGAATGAGTGAGGAGGGACACAGGGAGTAATTCTAGGTGACAGGACAAACAGATACTTTCATAAGCTCCCAAATAAGGCAGAAGCTATATTGCAAATGCAAAATTAGACACCTTTGTTAGTTTGCTTGGTGGCAACTTCCAGTACGGATATGAACTCCGACAGGCTTACTTACAGGCAGTCCTTCCACGCCATCCCTGCCAGGTAGACCTTTATCGCCCTTGGCCCCTGGCTGTCCCGGGTAACCTTTCATAAGAGACAGAGAAAAAATTACAGCACCTTATTGATGAGACACTTTCTAATAACTCAAGAGCTTTTCAATTTCTTTGAGATTCAAAAGTTCAAAAAAAAGATTCAAAGTACAAAGGTGTTTATACAAAATGGATGATGCTTGAAGAATCTCAAGAAAGTAATAACAAAAATGTTCAAGATGGGCTGGCTCAGAAAGGGAAAGAGACCCCAAACGCATACAAGTAACACTGAAGGGGGACGGCGACGAGTCCTCCCACCCCGGGCCATTTCCAGTAAAAACGTTCAGTTAACGTCTTTTGAGATAATGAAATTTGCAGAGCTGAGTGAACCATATGTTGCTATCCTTTTATTAGGACATTTTAATGACAGGGAATTTATAGGCCATCTTGATGATTTTCAACAAAGTGGACAAAATCCTGGAAGCAGGACATGACATTGTCATTATTACACTTTAGTTTTGAATGCAGAAAATTAGGTCTCTCATGGAGTAAGATGAGTTTCACTGTGAAGGTTCCAACCCACTGAAGCAAATTCTGACCTGTTCCTTTTCACGTATAGAATCTTACCTATTTCTCCTGGGGGTCCCTGTGGCCCAGGGGGTCCACGAAGTCCTTCTGTGTCACAGATAAGGCAACCCTCTCCTTTTTGACCTAAAAAAAAGGGAAACACACGAGTACTTTTATGTGACATGTGAACAGAAGTCTCTGCAATGTAGTGACAGAATAGGAAAGGGCAAAGAAGGCTGTTATCCTAATAGTGACGTATTCAAATGTGTTTTCTCGATTACCTAACCCCTGTGCTAGACACCTCTGTTAACCTGCTGTGTGTCCCTGTCACTGGGCACACTTCACAGGTAACCACTTTCAACGCATCACTACAAAGTGATCCAGAACTCAATTTTGCCTATCAGCCAGAAAAGTTTTAACTGCTATAATTTTGTCTCTCTCTCTAAAACCTCCCATTATTTTTTAAATATTTGTTAGCAAAATACATATCGCCGCTGGACTTAAACCCATGTAACAAGCTGACAGATGGCCACTGGGTATAAGAAGCCATGAAAGCAAGAACAAATACCAGACCTGACACTGAGACGGAAAAGTAGAGAGACCGCAGTACAGAAATGGAAGGAAATGCCTTTTCTTTGGAAGTTTTAACACCTTATATTTTGACTTTCAAACTAAGCTAAAAGGCCTTAGGGGGTTTTAGATACACCCATGTCCTAAACTATAAGATGCCTGGTTTCTAGGCACAAATCAGGTTTAACATAGAGCAGAGCACACATGGAGACATCCATGCTTGGAAATCACTGAGGCTGGTCGGCATCATCCTCGTGTGGTCGCCCTGAAGGGCGCTCCCAGCCGCAGGCACCGCTGCTACGCACTCTGGCCCATGGTCAGGAACAGAAAGGGGACCAATGCAGGCAGCCTCGTGTCCCTAAACTCTGGGCACGGTCCACTGCTTCGTTCTGTGTTCTTCCCGGGGCAGAACAGCAGCCCAAAGGTGGGACAGACACAGTAGTGCAAGTCTGCTAACAACGCAGCTAAGTTCTAGATGCCCTGGGGTTCTGCGGGTGTCTGCCGTGAGCCCAGGGGCAGGCGGGGAGCGGCACCAACACTGCCACGGGGCAGGCTGACGGTTCCCTAGCAGGAGCATGAAGACACAGGGAGAAAAAGGCTTCTCTTAGGATTCAGGAACTAGATAAATAAAATCTCAGCACAAAGGACCTTCTGACCATTGGCTCTGTCATAAAATGTAGAAGCCCATCTTAGACAGTACTAAATACCTGGCAACTAGAGTCACTGAAAGACAGATGACCTCTGACTGGTGGCAACCCTGCCCCCCCCCCCCATGATTCGTGGCTAACAAAATTCTAAGATTTAGCTGAAACTGTTTCCATGAAGCATTTGTGTTTTCAACTTTTGAAGAGCAAAAATTCTTAGCAATCTAAAGCCAGAAATGGTACACAATGCAGTACATTTGGGGGGCAGCCTCCTATTTGTTCTACCCTTGGGCACTCAGGGATGTATAAATATCAGAACATCCCCTGTTTATTACACTCTAAGACAGGACTGTTGGTGCAGTGATTATCCACTCTGTTTCCAAGATGGGGAAGGGATTATGATGTGTCCTGTGTTGGTGGTAGAGTAAAAACTTGGATAGAATAAAGATAAAACTGAGAGCTCTGGGTAGAGTCAGCTGATGCAGAGCAGATTTTCTCATACTGATTATGTGCACATGGCTTGCAAGGGTGATGAGCATTCCATGTGTGCATTTGAGATTTCACTTGAAAGAAAGACGTGCCTTCTTTGAAAAGGGAACTCTCAAACTCTGAACTTTTGAAAGATCGCAGTAAGATGTCAATCTGAGAGTTTAACCTGCTGGCCGTGGAGAGGGTAAAGGGCAGGAACTCTGACACCAGGGCCATGTCTTCCCATTGCCTCCCAGGTGAGAGCTGTCTCTCAAAATCCCAACAAGAGGACAGTCCCAGCAGAGTTGTAGGGAGACACATCCTAGAATGGACTTTGAGGGTAGTTCCAAATAAAGGGAGAACACACCCACATCCACCCAAAGCCAATAAGTACAGAGACATATATTACAGACCCACACACAATCTTTTTTTTTTAATTAATCTCTTACCTTTCTCTCCAACTTCGCCCAACAATCCTGGCTGCCCTGGAATTCCGGGAGGACCTCGATCACCTATCGGTCCAGGCTGGCATTCCACAATTCCATCTGAAATGGATTTTTAAAGTTACAGTTATCATTCCTACCTAACTGAAGCTGGGAATCCCCCCCCCCCCC